TAACTTTATTTTTGACTCATTTTCCAAATATCTGTAGAGTATTTATTTAATGCAGAATCATTTAAATTTTAATTAAATATTAATTGATAAAAGTTTTTTGGCATCTCAAGAAATATTCCATTGACTATATATTGTTATAATATTAAAGTAAATCAGATTTACATTCGACTAAAAAGGAAGAAACCTTTGGAAAAAGGCAAATTTAACTGCTAAGAATTCATAAGTTTCAAATATCTTAATATCTCATTAGTCTTTAACGATAATTTATTTTATCAGGTTTTTTATATCAATACTTTCACTTTTTTTTAATTTAATTGACGTTTTCTAAAATACAACCTCCTCTAGATTCAAAAAATGCTCGTAAATCTTCTCCCCAAGTGGTGTAAAATTCTCCTTAAAAGATTAAAGCTCCATTTGAAAGGAAGTAAGGATTTTTGGATATAACAAGAATTGGAATATTGGGATTAACTAAATAAAATAACAAATTAATGATACCAAAATTTGTAAAAGGATTATTTTATAATAACGGAGTGGTATATTTTTGTAGAATTTCTTTGGTATTGTTGTTTTAGTGTTTAATTTCTTTTCCTATTTTGACATCCCATATACGGATAAAGTTATCATAACTACCAGAAGCTAATGTATATCCATCAGGGGAGAAACAGACTGAACAGAAAGTGCTAGTATTACCATCTAATTTAGCTTTTTATTATCCTGTTTTGACATCCCATAAACGGATAGAGTTATCACCACTACCAGATGCTAATGTATTTCCATCAGCAGTGAAACATACTGAGTAGACATAATGAGTATGACCTTCCAATTTGGCTTTGTATTATCCTGTATTGGCAACCCAAAGACAGATTGACTAATCCTAACTACCAGAGGCTAATGTATTTCCATCAGGAGAGTAACAGACTGACATAACATTACCACTATGGCCATCTAATTTGGCTTTTTATTATCCTGTTTTGACATCCCATAGACGGATAGAGTTATCACCACTACCAGATGCTAATGTATTTCCATCAGGGGAGAAACAGACTGACATAACATTACCACTATGGCCATCTAATTTGGCTTTTTATTATCCTTTTTTGACGTCCCATAAACGGATAGAGTTATCATAAATACCAGATGCTAATGTATTTCCATCAGGAGAGAAACAGACTGATCTCACATAATCATTGTGACCATTTAATTTGGCTTTTTATTTTCCTGTTTTGACATCCCATAAACGGATAGAGTTATCACCACTACCAGATGCTAATGTATTTCCATCAGGGGAGAAACAGACTGAACAGACAGTGCTAGTATGACCATCAAATTTAGCTTTTTATTATCCTGTTTTGACATCCCATAGACGGATAGACTTATCATCACTTCCGGATGCTAATGTAATACCATCAGGGGAGAAACAAACTGATAGGACATATCCACTATGACCATCTAATTTCACTTTTTATTATTCTTTTTTGACATCCCATAAACGGATAAAGTTATCCTAACTACCAGATGTTAATGTATTTCCATCAGGAGAGAAACAGACTGACATAACATAGCCTCTATGACCATCCAATTTGGCTATTTATTATCCAGCTTGGACATCCCAAAGACGGATAGACATATCACCGCTTCCAGATGCTAATGTATTTCTATCAGAGGAGAAACAGACTGAACAGACAGTGCTAGTATGACCATCAAATTTAGCTTTTTATTATCCTGTTTTGACATCCCATAGACGGATAGACTTATCATCACTTCCGGATGCTAATGTAATACCATCAGGGGAGAAACAAACTGATAGGACATATCCACTATGACCATCTAATTTCACTTTTTATTATTCTTTTTTGACATCCCATAAACGGATAAAGTTATCCTAACTACCAGATGTTAATGTATTTCCATCAGGAGAGAAACAGACTGACATAACATAGCCTCTATGACCATCCAATTTGGCTATTTATTATCCAGCTTGGACATCCCAAAGACGGATAGACATATCACCGCTTCCAGATGCTAATGTATTTCTATCAGAGGAGAAACAGACTGAACAGACAGTGCTAGTATGACCATCAAATTTAGCTTTTTATTATCCTGTTTTGACATCCCATAGACGGATAGACTTATCATCACTACCAGAAGCTAATGTATTTCCATCAGGAGAGAAACAGACTGACAAGACATAACTACTATGACCATCTAATTTGGCTTTTTATTATCCTGTTTTGACATCCCATAGACGGATAGACTTATCATCACTACCAGAAGCTAATGTATTTCCATCAGGAGAGAAACAGACTGACAAGACATAACTACTATGACCATCTAATTTGGCTTTTTATTATCCTGTTTTGACATCCCATAGACGGATAGACTTATCATCACTACCAGAAGCTAATGTATTTCCATCAGGAGAGAAACAGACTGACAAGACATAACTACTATGACCATCTAATTTGGCTTTTTATTATCCTGTTTTGACATCCCATAGACGGATAGACTTATCATCACTACCAGAAGCTAATGTATTTCCATCAGGAGAGAAACAGACTGACAAGACATAACTACTATGACCATCTAATTTGGCTTTTTATTATCCTGTTTTGACATCCCATAGACGGATAGACTTATCATCACTACCAGAAGCTAATGTATTTCCATCAGGAGAGAAACAGACTGACAAGACATAACTACTATGACCATCTAATTTGGCTTTTTATTATCCTGTTTTGACATCCCATAGACGGATAGACTTATCATCACTACCAGAAGCTAATGTATTTCCATCAGGAGAGAAACAGACTGACAAGACATATCCACTATGACCATCTAATTTGGCTTTTTATTTTCCTGTTTTGACATCCCATAAACGGATAGAGTTATCACCACTACCAGATGCTAATGTATTTCCATCAGGGGAGAAACAGACTGAACAGACAGTGCTAGTATGACCATCAAATTTAGCTTTTTATTATCCTGTTTTGACATCCCATAGACGGATAGACTTATCATCACTTCCGGATGCTAATGTAATACCATCAGGGGAGAAACAAACTGATAGGACATATCCACTATGACCATCTAATTTCGCTTTTTATTATCCTGTTTTGACATCCCAAAGACGAATAGATATATCACCGCTTCCAGACGCTAATGTATTTCCATCAGGAGAAAAACAGACTGAGTTGACTGTGCTAGTATGACCATCTAATTTGGCTCTTTATTTCTTAGTCTTCATATCCCATAGACGAATAGAGTTATCATAACTACAAGATGCTAATATATTTCCATCAGGAGAGAAACATACTGAGTTGATTCCTTTAGTATGACCTTCCAATTTGGCTTTTTATTTTCCTGTTTTGAAGTCCCATAAACGGATAGACTTATCACCGCTTCCAGACGCTAATGTTTTTCCATCAGGAGAAAAACTGACTGAATTGACAGTGCTAGTATGACCATCGATTTTGGCTTTTTATTATCCTGTTTTAACATCCCAAAGGCGGATGGAATTATCAATGCTATAATAAACAGGATTTCCACTACAAGTTGCTAGTGTAGTACCATCAGTCGTGAAGCAGACTGAGTTTACATTATCATGATGACCATCTAATTTATTCAATTCTTGAAGCTTAATATTCTTCCATTTACAATACCATAGTAATGTTTCATTCAAATTAATCCCACTTATGCTAACATTATTAAATTCTGATCCACTTAAATTACATCTAATAAAATTTGCTCCTACTAGAGAAGTATTTTAGATCTTAATATTTTCAAAATTTTAATCTCTAAGATCCGCCTTCATCTAAACTAATACATATAATGAATTAGACCCACATTAGATTACAGTCTTATCGATGGATGTTAGGTGAACTAAAAATTTCAAATATTCTATGATCTATATATTATCCTTTATGCTTTTAATTAGATCTAAGATAGATTCTTATTTTTCTACACAGGAAAAGTCTTTTTTATTGAATTCATGATCTTTTATTTTTTTTAAGACATCACTAATTATTCTCATTTCATTTCTAGCAACCTATAGTTTCTATTTATTCTCAGCTTCTTCAAACTTCCCTCCTTGTTGTAAGATGGATTATTCTATACGTTTTTGATTTTCATTCTCCAAAAGATATCCAATACAATCTTCAACTTTTTCTTTTCGAAATATTTCTAACATAAAATTATATATTTTTCCTTCTACATCTTTAACTTAAGTAAAGATGTAAGCTAGAGCTTCCTTATCTTAAAAAAGGCACTATATTTTCTTTTTTATTTTTAACATTGAATTTCTATTATTTGAATTTTAAGTTATATACTGCAAAATCGATAAAGTATCTTATGCATTTTTTTAAATAGAGGTTCAGGCACAGTGCAGGGTTTGGATTGATTTAAAAAAGGTGATTGAGAACTCATTTCAACATTTGCATTTTTTGATTTTTTAATAATATTGAATATCTTTATTATTATATGAATATATTAAACTAAATTTGAGTTCTAGTAATATTAATTGAATCATTTGCACAATTACTTCTTTCAATGAGAAATTAACTTGAACATGTTGGAAGTACAATTGCGTGCTATTCTTACAATTTTTTTGTTTCATCCAACAGAATCTAATGTATTTAAAACTAGATTAACATTGCTTAATTCAATTCTGTATGGTTTTGCATTATTTGAAAACAAAGGAATTGCTTTTTCTTAAACAGTTCTTAAATGTCACCAATAATGGTGTAATGATATTATTTTCTTTTTTGAAAGGATCATCATCTCCATTAAAATCTTTTAATGTTAGTTCTATCATAGATTTCTATAATTTAAATCAGCATAACCAATGGTATTTTACTTTGAGCTTATACTAGATGCTATTAATTGTTTATCCATAGAACAATCACATATAAAAAATAAACTAAACTTAAACCACTTAACAAAAGTGTTATTATCCCTCCAACTTTGCTTTGATATCTTAAGTTATTTGTATTAGATAAAAGACAAATAGGAACACCAAATATATCTATTTTTCAATAGTAATAATAATTTTATAATTAAGAAATTTTTCATTCCAATAATACATATTTTCATTATTCTAACAAGAGTAAGTTATCTAATAACTATATCTCTTATAACAATTATATATTCTATTATCTAAAATTCCGGATTAACATTGAGTATTCTTTTTCCCTTTTTCCAAAAATAAGAATTAAACTTTTATTATCAATTTCTTGCAAAACAATACAACTTCAATTATACTAATCTGCAAATATATTTTCTTTTGATATTACTCAATATTCATGTTTAAAGTTGTTCAGGAATATTCAAAATAGGAGAGAGATTTTTGTTTATGAAGAATGAATGCATCTCAATGATATGCCTTAAAATAAGTTAAAAATTAAGAAATTCATTTTACTAATTAATTAATATTTAATATATTATTTTATTAAATTAAAAAAAAACAAATAACTTAAAGAATATTTTGGAAGAAATTATGAAGAAATTAAACCAATAAAAAAGTATAATTAAATCCAATAGACTGTACTATTGGACCTATTTTTGACAAGCGTCCACCATAAATTTATAAATTATCATTAAATTTAAGAAGTTTATTAAGAATACTGGTGTTTTGCATTTGGATTCAAGATAAAAAGTTCAATAATGGCTGGAGTATCTAAAGAAGATATAAAAATTTGGAAGAAGGATAATTAAGAGATTCAGGAGTAACCTTAAAAGGTCATAATTTAGATGTCACGTGTATTATTTTAAGTAAAAGATAAATTGGTTTATACCTGGTAGTATAGATTATAAGATTATTGAATGGAAAAAGATGGTTAATACAATTTATTGAGAACAATCATAACCTTGTGACACTTAGTCTATTGTATAGTGTTTATTATTAAATTAAAGTGAAAATTGAATATTTTCTGTTCATTCGAATGGATCAATTAAGATTTGAACTTAAATACAGATAAGAGTTAGTTGATGTTTCATTATTAGGTTCATAAGCATTGTAAAAATATTGGTTAAATGAGTATGAATGTAAATGAAACACTAATAATCTCATATAGAGATGATAAAAAAGTAATAGTTTGGAAGAAGAAGGCGATTGAAAAGATTTAAGTTTAAGTGAGTTTTAGAATATCTTAAAAATGATAATTTATTTAGAGTTTTTTTTAAATAAAGATATAATTACTTGGTGCCAAGAAAATTAAGGTTTTATTCAAATATTTAATTTCGTAGACATAAAAAGAGTAGCAAATAGACTTAAAGAATTTAGACTTAACAGATTGATAATCCTTATATCCTTCTATTCAAAATAAGACGAAGTAAATATTTATCATAAAGCATAACTAATATGTTAATATCTTGAGCTATGCAATTAATCATTCAATGTTTAAAGTCAACCAATTGACTGAAGATCTTGTAAAAATTATGGAAATATTACTGAGGATGGAAACTATTTAAAATTTTGGAATGATTAAACTGTATCATTTCATTTTTATGAATTGAAATTATTATCAAAATAAAATTTATATTTTTCACATAAGAAGTATATTTATTTACTTTAATATCTATCTTCGATTATGAATTAAATTTCAAATAATCTATCTTTATGAAAAAAATTATCTTAGGAATTTTAATTTAGTAGAGGAGATCTTTAATCTATTTGGCAGGATCCTATATTTGGAATTTGCGATAACACATTTTATATAGAATTTTGTCATTTAGATTATAAAATGAAGATTATTCTTAAAAAGAAGAATCTCAAAAATTCATCCATAAAATATAAATTAATATTTACTTAATACCCTTAATTTTTT